CCTCTAGTTACATCCATGGCATGGCAAATTGCATGATTTTGTTCTTTCTTAGAACTGCATGGTATTCCGTTGAATGTATGTACCATAACGTCCTTGATCCATAGTTGGGCATTTGGGTTGATTGCATATACTGATTAGCTATTGTATTAAGCACTGGGGTGAATATAGTTATGCATATGTCCTTTCAAATGAATATTTTGAGGCTTTGGGATCACGATCATGATCATCCTGTTGTTCGTTGATCGCCTCAAGCAGGCACCAGTAACGTCTCCTTCTTCCTAGCCCTGTGATTTTAAAAAAGCCGTATTCAATGCTCTTTCAGGGCTAGGAGAATGAGACCTATCATTGTTACTGGTATTTGGCATATTGAGTATGACACGGGAAGTTTGCCAGACTCTGCCATGCGGGCAGGATACTCTCGGTAGCCTGTCGGGTTCTCCAAAGTAAAAACGAGATAATAAGATGTAGCTTCTGGGAGCTGGGTTTTATAGTCTCTGGGTCTTAGCTGAGATCTCCAAGGCTTTGGGATAGAAGCAAAGAAATGGCATTTGGGGGTTCTAGTCCTACATTGATCTTTCTATTGAGGCTGTGCAGAAGACATTCCCACTACCAATGGGTCATCTTAAATACAAACTTTCTAAAATCCATCTATTGGGGCCTGTGTCATGTTTCAATGTGGCAGCTTTCAGTGCAGTGAAAGAATAGTGACCATGAAAACCAGCTCTTGAATTTGAAGAGAGATCTTCCCAAGTTAATGCATAGCACTGTAGGGAAACATGCAATTTTGCCTGCAGCTCAAAGACATTTCCACCAGCAGGAAAGTGAGGCCAAAAGATAGGTGGACTGTCTGCTACTCAGAATTGGGAGTGGGGGGTGTGCTCTGTTATAGGCTTAATCTGCTCCTGCGGCCTTAATGAAATACCATAGACTGGGCAGCATTCAACAACAAATTGACTTCTCAGTACTAAGAGGCTGGAAGTCCCAAATCCAGAAAGGATTTCTCTCAGTGTTCTTCTTTAAGTGTTAAGGCTGTAACTTCTTGCTGTGTGCCTTCATGACCTCTTCTTGATGCATTTATAGACACACAGAGATTTTTCTTTTCTTCTTCTAGTAAGGCCACTAACCATATCAGATTAAGGCTCCATCCTTATGACCTTTCCAGGGAAGCAAAAGTATGCCATCCCAAATAATGCACTTGGTGAAAGATTGATTTTATGGAAGAGGCTCTAAAAAGCTGGGTGGAGGTGGCCTTTGCAAAAGACATTTATTGTGAGAGAGAAGAAAGATTTTTTTCTGCTTGTCACCTCTCAGAGCATCTAAATTATGAAGGCCATTTTGCAACCAAGAAAGAAATTGTTGGTTTCTTCATCAGTTGAATATATATTGAAGAGAACACAAACACTGTTATTGTTAAACTGATTAACATTGAAGAGAAAAATTAGTAATAAAATCTAAGCTATGTAATCATTGCATGCTAAAAAAGAACTTTTTTTTGATTTTGGGGTCATACCCGGCCATGCACAGAGGTTACTCCTGGCTCTGCACTCAACAATGACCCCTGGCCGTGCTCAGGGGACCATATGGGATGCTGGGAATTGAACCAGGGTTGGCCACGTGCAAGGCAAACGCCCTACCCACTGTGCTATTGCTCCAGCCCCCCCCAAGAACTTTTTTTCATATAAATATATCCCTTAAAGGTGTCTCCATGGAAGAACCAATTAAAATTTTAAAAAATTGAATCCTCATGAAATATACAGTTACAAAGTTGTTCATGATTGGGTTTCGGTCGTAGAATGTTCCAATACCTGTCCCTTCACCAGTGTACGTTTCCCACCACCACTGTCCCCAATTTCCCTCCTGCCACCATCCCTATCCCCCATCTTTGCCCCATCTTTGCCTGACTCTATGTCATGTAATTTTCTTCTCTCTCTTTCTCTCTCTATCTCTCTCTTCTCTCTCACTCTCTCCTTCTGGGCATCATGATTTGTAATAAAGGAGAATAATAGGTTATCATGAGTATCCCTTTATCTATTCTCGGCACTCAATTCTTGTCCAGAGTGATCATTTACAACTGTCATTGTCATAGTGGTTCCTTCTCTGTCCTGTGTCCCTTTACTTGTGGCAAGCTTTCAACAGTGGTTCAGTCCTCCTGGCCATTGTTTTTTATTGTCCTTGGCTATTAGTCTCATACTGTTTTTTTTTTTTTTTTTTGCTTTTTGGGTCACATCCGGAGATGCACAGGGGTTACTCCTGGTTCTGCACTCAGGGATCACCCCTGGCTGTACTCAGAGGACCATATGAGGATGCTGGGAATCGAACCCGGGTCAACCAATCTGGCAAGGCAAATGCCCTACCAGCTATGCTATTGCTCCAGCCCCTCATACTGTTTTTTTATATAGCACAAATGAGTGTGATCATTCTCTGTCTCTTCCTCTTTTTTTGACTCAAGTTTCAGTCATATTATGTTCCAAACCCCCTTCACCAGTGTATATACCCCACCACCAATATCCCTAGTTTCCTTCCCTCCCCACCGTTGCCTCTACGGCAGGCACTTTTCCTCTCTCTCTCTCTCTCTCTCTCTCATTTTCTTTTGGACCTTATGATTTGCAATACAGATACCGAAAGATTATCAGTATCGTTACCTTTCAACACTCAGTTCCTGTCTAAAACGATTATTTCCAACTATTACTGTCATATGGGTCTCTTCTCTAGCCTAATGGCCCTTTGCCCCCCACCCCTACCCCCCACTCTTGTGGCAAGCTTCCAACTATTGACCCAATTTTCACTATCCAAGGACAGAAAAAAAAGTCATGATTTCCTTTGTACCCGATGTCTCATTTAACCTTAGTTACCTCCTCATAATCCACCAAATATAGTCACTTCAAAATCTTCCAATACATATAAATTCTGAGGATGGGGGCCGGGGTACATAAGTTCAAAACAGTGATTTAGTGTTTTGATCCTGTTAACCTCCCCAGACTAACAGAACATAGCTGTCTTAGTATAAGCTGGAAATCCATTTCTCACAGTTCAGAAGCCTTGGAAAATCAAGGCATTTACAATTTAGTGTCTGCAGAGAGCTCACTTCTGGGTTCATAGACAGCCTCTCTCTGTGTCCTCAAATGGTAGAAAGTTCAAAGAAACTCTCAAGCTTTTGTTCAGCACATGAATTTTGGGAGGAACACTTTCAACCAATAGAAATAGCATCGATCTTCTATTGGATGTGATCTTGACTAATGCTTGAATCATGTCATATTTTGTTGCTGTTTTGGGACCATACCTAGCAGTGCTCAGGGCTTATTTTTGGTTCTGTGCTCAGGGAGCACTCCTGGCAGTTCTGTGGGACCAGATTGGGTGCTGAGGATTGAACCCAGGTGGACCACATGCAAGGCAAGTGTCCTACTCCCTCTACTCTCTCTACTATCTCTCTGGCCTCTCATGTCATAATTTTTGCCGAAAATCAAAAAATACCTCCCTACCTCCACTTTATACAGGAAAGTGCCTGAAGAAGGCACAAGTAAAGTACTGCAGATTTAGGTTCTTTTTTTGGTTTTGTTTTTGGGGGGCCACAACTGGCTGTGCTGAGGGCTTACTCCTGGTTCTGCACTCAAACTTCACTTCTGGCAGAGCTTGGGAACTATACGTGGTGCCAGAGATATAACTCACCTGTAAGGCAAGGTCCCTGTCTGCTGCACACTCTCTACCTTGCTTGTACACTCCATACCTGCTGTATACTCTATCCAGGCCAGATTTAGATTCTTTCCTTAAACACTGAGAAGGAATAAGGGCTTTAGGTCCCCCACATGCAGTCCAGGAGCTACTCTTTGATTAGAAATTTCCTTTTGCACATGCCAATGTGTTCTTCTAAAGCAACTGCCACCCAGACCTCGGGGCCCCTCCCTTGAACTCAACCTTTTGCTAAGCATGTACTTTGTGGCAGATTTTTGTTCCCTCATACTGAAGTGGTGAGAGAGATGGGATATGGGTATAGGCAGTGCCTGCTACAGATTCATTTAGAAAATTAGTATTTGGATACAAAATATGTTTTCTTTGGCTGCTGGATGAAGTTGGGGAGCATACCTAGAAATCTTTGGGACTGTTTAGAAGAGGATAATGTGATGAGTGTGATTAAAGGTTGTTTGTTATAAAAAAAAAAAACCATAAAGGAGAGAGGCATTCTTGCAGCTGACCAGTTCTCACCTACATGTACACAAATAAAAATAAATTAGAGTACTGCATTTCTTTGGCAGGAATTTTGGTAAGGAAGAAATGTGGGGATAACCCATATGGCCTTCAACAGAAAATATTGAATGTGAAAAGGAAGTTGTTGAATGGTAGATCCCAAATAGCAAATAAACCCAAGAAGAGTATTCTGTATTGTTCATGAATACCTACCCATGTTACAAAGCTGCAACATGTGCCTACGAATGAGAATCATCAAATTCTGACAGACACTTGTTAAGTCTTAAGCCTGGAATTGTGTTTAAATGATTTTTAAGAATAATTCTCTAAGGCGCTGAGCACAGTGGGAAGCTGTCCTGAGTTTGATCCCTGTACCCCACTGGTCCCCCAAGACTGTCATAAGGGAACCCTGAGCACAGAGTCAGGAGTAAGCCCTTAACAGTACTGGGTGCAGTCAGCACCCCCTCAAAAAAAGTTAAGGAGCTGGAGCAATAGCACAGCGGGTAGGGCGTTTGCCTTGCACGTGTCCGACCCGGGTTCGATTCCCAGCATCCCATATGGTCCCCCAAGCACCGCCAGAAGTAATTCCTGAGTACAGAGCCAGGAGTAACCCCTGAGCATTGCTGGGTGTGACCCAAAAAGCAAAAAAAAAAAAAAACAAACAAAAAGTTAATATGGCAACAGTTTCCATTTAAGAGTTGATGTTTTCTGGTAGCTGCTTGGTTGTTCTTTAGAATATTCGACTTTTTGGTATTCCAAAAACATTTCAAACCAACAAAAAAGACCCAAAACTGAAAACATGAGAGTTTTCCCCCACTTTATGTTTGCCCTCATGTTGTAGACCAGTCAAAGGGCATGGGCTGAAGTGCATATAGGTGGGTTTATTATACTTCTTCTTTCTATATACCCAGTGTAAAGAACACAGCCTGTAGGGAACACCACAAGGCAAAATATGAGTGGAATTTAAAAAAAATTTTTGGTGGGGGCACACTCAGCTGTGCTCAAGGGTTACTACTCCTGGTTCTGTGCTCAGGGATTACTCTTGGCAGACTTTAGGGGACCATATGGGGTGCTGGGGATTGAACTGAGGTCAGATGTGTGAAAAGCAAATTCCCTACCCACTGTACTACCCCTCCTGCCCCCAAACATGAGGGTTTTTAAAGGCATTCTTGGGGCTGGAGCAATAGCACAGAGGGTAGGGTGTTTACCTTGCACGCGGCTGACCCAGGTTCGATTCCCAGCATCCCATATGGCCCCCTGAGCACTGCTAGGGGTTATTTCTGAGTGCAGAACCAGGAGTAACGCCTGTGCATCGCCGGGTGTGACCCAAAAAGCAAAAAATAAAATAAAATAAAATAAAATAAAAAATAAATAAAAGGCATTCTTATTTTTGCCATTTGGTGGAAGAAAATTATACAATTTAGTGGTGGAATTAGGATCTTCCCCCCTCCTCTGGTGCAATTGGAGGTTGGATTTTGAACTTTTTAAGAGTTTGAATTTTGAAACTTTTAGTGATAATTTTGAATTTTGAAACTTTGTCAGACCATATGAGCATAGTCACTGTGTGTTGAATTATTTACTTTCCCTTTCAAGTGTTTGGACTTAAGAACAGAGACTTTGCAGAAGGTTGGTTGCTCAGAAGTATGATTTGGTGGCCGGAGGTCATCAGCACCAAAGGACACAAGTCATATAGGAGAAAGAGTGACTTATAGCTTAGACAGACTCTGGTGCTGAAAATTTGTATTCTTCAATGTGTACCTTTAAAACACAACCACCTGTGCCATTGTGCACACATGTCTCTGTGAAAAACAATCAAAGGGAGAATGGGGGAAACCCTGCAGTTAGTTACCTGATGCTTGGGGGCAGATTGATTGGACTGACCACAATGAATCAGCATGTCTTTTGGGGTAACCTGGTTTCCAGATTGTTCCACACTCCCTGCTTGGAGCGAGAACAGCCTTAGGCAAAACCAAGAAGAAAGCCAAGTTTGCATGGACCACTCCCTGTTCAGCACTTTCCTGTAAGGCCAACTACAAACTGACAAACCCTTTGTGAGTTACATGATATATTTACATTGATTAAAATGCAGAAAGTGCAGAAAGGTTTACAGTAAGACTCTCTCTTACCTTCCTTCTCCAGCAACCCACTTCAACAACCTAGAGCCTAGAGGTGGAATTTTTTTTAACATTTATTTATTCTTGTGGTGGTTGGTGGACCATATGGGATGCTGGGGATCGAACCTGGGTTGGCTGTGTGCAAGGCAGACTCCCTACCTGCTGTGCTATCGCTCCAGCCCCTAGAGGTGGAATATTTCAGTGTCACATTCTAGGGTTGTATCACCAATGTGTGGAAACATAAAAATGGCATATAATGTGAGCAAACAGGCAATAAGACTAAAATATATCTTGGACATTGCATTTGACCAGTATATTAAAAGTTCTTCTTTGTAAAAATTACACATTATTTATGATATAGATGCACTATAATTAATTTTAAATAATTATACATTCTTTCAAATAGTTGGTTATTACAAGTTAGGGCTGCCATGAGTAAGTGTCACATATGCCAATATTTGTAGAATAAATTTTCCAAAGTAGAATTTCTGGGTCCAATGTTGCATGTATTTGTAATGATGATAGAAAATGGTTAGAATATGTTCCATCAAAAAGTGTTATTGGTTTGCATTCCACTATCACTGTATCAAGCAAGTGTCCATTTCCTGAAACTCTCATTGATGGTTTGTTATCAGAGTTCTTTTTATATTTGCAGAATTAATATGTGAGAAATGGCTTCTCAAGGTGTATTTAATTTGCATTTCTCTTACTACTTTTTCATTTGTCAGAAATCATTTTTTGTAGTTTTTTTAAAAAAAATTTTATTAGTGAAACACCATGAGGTACAGTTGTAGACTTACAATGCTTGTGTTTCAGTTATACAATGATCGAGTACCCATCCCTCCACCAGTGCCCATCTTCCACCACCACGGGTCCTAGTATCCCTCCCACCCCTCACCCCCCCACATCCCACTCTTTCCCTATGGCAGGGCATTCCCCTTTGTTCTCTCTCTCCTTTTGGGTGCTGTGGTTTGCAAAAGAGGCATTGAGTGGCAATCATGTTTGGTCTATAGTCTACTTTCAGCATGCTTCTCCCATCCTGGGCAGAAGTCATTTTGACATGAGAAATTCTCTAGAGTACTGGAAGTTCTGAATAGGCCCATAACACCCAGATTCTGGGTGAGTGACGATGTTACAGGCAGAGAGATGGGAGCCTCGTAATGAGTGTTTTTTGGAAATAAAACTAAGAAGAAGCTGCCTAGTCATTAGTCTGAAGTAGCCCAAAGGCATGTGTACCACATCCCTTTTAGATGCAAATACTGAGCTCTTTGGAGATGGAGAAAATGAGGCCCTGCCCAGAAAAGAACCCCCTCAGAAATGAAGAAGTTTCATGAGAATACAAAGATCATGATGAGAATATAAAAGGAGACCATCAAGAATCCAAGACTCTTGGGGCTGGAGCGATAGCACAGCGGGTAGGGCGTTTGCCTTGCACGCAGCCAACATGGCTGACCCGGGTTCGAGTCCCAGTATCCCATATGGTCCCCCGAACACTACCAGGAGTAATTCCTGAGTGCATGAGCCAGGAGTAACCTCTGAGCATCACTGGGTGTGACCCAAAAAGCAAAAAAAAAAAAAAAGAATCCAAGACTCTTTCCTTCAACAACTCCATAGCAACAGACTCATCCAAGTGGGGCCAGTTTGGAAAAAGCCTTACTATCAAACCAACTTGATAAAGACATGGAGGGTAGGAAAAGTGCATTCTCCACTTTGAACACTCACCCATGTCTCAACCTGAGATGTATACTCTTGGCTTTCTCCCCTCTGGAGAAACCTATATGCTCTCTCTCTCTCTCTCTCTCTCTCTCTCTCTCTCTCTCTCTCTCTCTCTCTCTCCCTCCCTCTCTTCCTCTCTCCCTCCCCATATTTATCTAAATAAAAATATAACTATTGATCTTACTATTTAGTCTCCTCTTAAAACTTCCCTGCAAGGGAAGGAGATGTTCCTGAAAAACTGGGACTGACTTTTCTTTTCTGAAAAGAGTATTTTCTCACTCTAGAGGACTTCGGGTACTGGTTGACAGCTATCTTATGGACTTGGTGGGATGCAAACACCTATGGCCCATAAGTGCTTGTAGCAGACTCTATCAATTCTGACCCATGCCTGGCATTTCCCCTGGTGGCTGAGGTGAGTCAAGCAGAGAGGTGGAATCATTCCTTTCTCAAGGCTACCTCCATTGGATAGCTGGAGCGATAGCACAGGGGCTGGAGTGATAGCACGGCGAGTAGGGCGTTTGCCTTGCACATGGCCGACCCGGGTCTGATTCCTCTGACCCCTTGGAGGGCCCAACAAGCTACTGAGAGTATCTCGCCCGCACGGCAAAGCCCGGCAAGCTACCTGCAACGTATTTGATATGCCAAAAACAGTAACAAGTCTCACAATGGAGACGTTACTGGGCCTGCTCCAGCAAATCGATGAACAACGGGAGGACAATGCTACAGTACTCCCTCCATTGCTCCCCCACTTTACATAAATTATCTGCAACAACAATATACTTTTATTGTTGTTTTTGGCTTGGGGATAATATCTGGCTGTGCTCCTGGCTCTGGCTTCAGGGATCACACCTGGTGGGGCTCTGGGGACCATATGTGGTTCTGGCTGTGTGCAAGGCAAGCACCCCACCTGCTGTACTGTCATTCTACCCCCAACAATGTACTTCTAAAAAGCAAAGCTGAGTATCTAATAAGAGGTAGAAAATTATGACAGCAAAATGGTGAAAATAATAACCATAATAGCAATGTAATCAGGCCACTGAAGTGGGCAGGAAGCAAATAAATGTTTTAGAGTCACATTAGGTCAAATTGCCACGACTTAACAGCAGGCAGATCGGAGTGGAGGAGAAAATTGATAATAATCCTGGGGTTTCTGGAAAATGGCCATGCTAGGACTATAATGAAGTTTTTCTAGTTAATTTGCAGCCACAGACCTGATATCACTTAGATTCTGATGTTCATATTTTTACTGGTCCTGAATGTGGAAAAATTCAATTAAAGAACTTGCAGTTTATTAGTTCCCCAAATCCATCAGAGGTCAACACAAATATTTGGTAAAGGAAAGAACAATAAATATAAACTCATCATTAAAATGTTACTAAAAATACAAGGAAACAAGCCAATATGAGTGAATCCGCAAAAACAAGATCTATGTGATATTGTCTACCAGGATTTAGAATGTTAGGATTATCCGATAAAGTCTTGCTAGGAGTATGTGTCTGTGAAATATTTACAGATGGAAGCCTAGGAACAGGAGCCAAAGGCCTCCAAAAATGATCCAGGAATATTTCTAAAGGAACCAAATTGAACTTTTAGAAAAAATAATTTCAATTAAAGTCTATTTTGCATACATAGGTAACAAAACTATAAATAAAAGTCAGGAAGAGATTAGTGGAAAGGAAATGTACTCTGGAATGGGGGAAGGAGTGGGAGTGTAATTAGAGTAGTAATATATGGGGACGATTTTTCATAATATCTGAGTGCTTGACCAGGGTAGAAGTCACACAGATGTTTTATTAATGGTTATTTAATTTGCTGAATTTTATGTTTTACACACTGATGTATGTTTTATTTTTTCAAAATTTATGGTTTGACCTAATGTACACTGTGATAGTATTGGGAGATGGAACCTTTGGCAATTTATGTTTTGTTTGGGTTTGGAGGCCACATCTGGTGGTGCTCAGGGCTTACACCTGGCACTGTGCTCAGATATCACTCATGGAAGAGCTTGGGGGGGCATATTTGGGGGACACATTCAGTACTGGGGATTCAAACTTGGGTAGGCTACATGCAAGCCAATCATCTTAACCCCTGTACTATCTTTCTGGCCTGAGAAGTGGA